AACGAAAACTGAAAAGGGAAAACGAAAAACAGAAAATGAAAACTGTTTTTCCGTAACTAAACGCAACCTGAATGTTTCATTTTGCTCATTAGACAAAAAAATTGATAACTTCTACATATGATCTAGTTGGCAAATATGTATGTTAAATTGAACTCTTATGTAGATTTGTATTCATTTTTCTTTATTTCTTCTTTTTCTTCTCTCGAAGCACCATGATTTTGTGTAATAGCTTTGCAAGGTCATTCAAGTGGTTAATCACCCATAATGGTGTAAGCAATGCCATAAATGTTTTTTTAGAAGAAGTTATTGTGGACAACCTTCCGTGCCTTGCTTATACTATTTTGGGATGATGAACCATTTGAGCCACCTTGGGAAGGAATTTCACAAAATCATGAATTTGCAACAAAATTATAAAATTATTCACTTAATTGAAAAAAAAAACACATTATAAAAAACAAAATTCTACGTAAATTTAACGTCTTTTATACGATTTTTCCTTTTACAAGCATTTTTTCATTTCAAAATGATTTAAATACACAAAATAGCATATTATTTTATACCGGATCTAATCCAGTGTGAAAACGGAGTTTTAGAAAAAAAAAGATAAGCATTAATCGGTAGCAAAACGTAATAAATTGATAAGTTGTTTTTTTAGTGTTTGACAAACTCTTCTTATACGTATAAAATGACCGAAAATACAAGTCTTGTGGTGGACAAATATATGGATTTAAAAGTAGGATTAGAGGGTATGTGATGTGTCCTAATAGCTACACCTAATTTTACCTATTATCTAACTAGCTATTCGACCAAAGGCAGTGTACATTTTCGTAAATAGTATAGTACAAACAGTCGGGTATCGATCATAGGGAACAATTTTAATTAATTAATCTAATTGCTACTAAATTAACCTAAAAATCTAAGCAAAGGTTTAAATGGTTTTTATCTGATTTTGCAAGTTCGATTGACTTTATCAATCAACTATTCAAATTCAATCAATTACTAAAAACATTTCTGTTTAGTTCGAATCCACTTTTCCTCAATGGTTAGCTATTAATTACGGATTATCCAAGTTGGTTACCAATTTATATATTATTAGTAATTTAAGTCCAAATTTACTAATGACTAACTAATTCATGTAGAACTATGCATGATCACACATAATTTAACACAAAATCAATTATTAATTATGAATGGAGCTATGTAAGATTGATTTAACAAAATAATTATATTCACAATATATGTTCTCCAGCACAACCAAATTCAAATACTTTAATTACTTATCTAAGATTGGTTCGATCTTAGCTCTAGTAATCTAATAGTCACTAAATTACTAGATATCAAGTTCATGCAATTTAATATTCACTAAGCTACACAGAACATGAATTCAAGCAATTCTAAGTATCAAATTTTAGCATGCTAGGTATAAACAATCAAACACAAGCATATAACCAACTAGTAAAATACATAATGAAATAACTAATCCATGAGTTCTAGTTTCATCTAGCTAAACAGAAACATCTAGATTCAGCTACTCATGGCTGATATCAAACACACAATCTCAATTAATGAAAACACAATCAAACCGAATGAATTGATGACATTTTCTTCTAGATCTCTTCAACTCTTGAGCTCCAATTGTTTCCTCCTCTTCTAAGGGTTTTTTAGAGGTTATTTTCGTAATACTTCTCCAGAAAGTCACCTCCAAGTCCCTCAATTCGTCATAATGTTCGAATATATATACTTTCCTTAAATCTGGCCACCACGACGTGGTAAAGGCACCACGTTGTAGTCTTCGTGTATATCCCGTATTCTCCAAGTCAGCGCCAAGAACCGCGAAGATTCCATTCACTACGTCGTGGTGGGATCACTACGTCGTGGT